AGGAAGAAGAAGTGAACACTGACGCTGCAGAATCCGTGTTTCATTTGTTCATTTGTTTTTCAAACAAACTATTTTCTTCATTATTTGTCTCCAAAACCAAAATAGATTTGGAGAAAATTGGTCTGTTCCCAGTCTCAGTCTCAGTCCCGGTCTCAGTCCGGTATAAAAATGGGAAATCGTCAGTTCTCCTCCAGATTTCATGGTTTGAAGTTTTCTTTGGTGTGACACAGATTAATGTTACAAATACAATATGTATATGGCAAAAATTGGAATAAAAAAAAAAAAAAAACATCGATAGTTCAGAGTTTTAGGGAGATTCTGGTACGTCGGCATACACTGTCTAATGCCCCGTTCACACTAGTGTGTATGTGAGTGGTGTTGTTGTGTGTACAGTGTTTATTCACACTAATCTGATTGAAACGTCTCCAGAGTCTGAACGATCTGGTGCCTCCAGCTCCACGAGTTCATGTTGGTCCAGATGTGACGGGGACTGTGGGACTCCTGAAAACTCTGATACTCTGAAGTAGGAGCTTTTTTAATTAAATAGTAACTTCAGATATACAAGACACAAGTTTGGCAATAACAAAAAATAGAACCTCTAATGCCACTGACAGAGTGAAGTAAAGAATAATAAAAAATAAATGTAATAATACTAAACAGGCACATAGAACATATTTCATATTTCATGGTTTCTCTGAGTTTATATGTAATTAAATAAACATATAATGAAGACATAAAGATAAGTTCATTGTCCGTCTGTATGGATCCTTCTTCTAATATTAGTCTCGTCCTTATGGGTTCGTGACGTCGTTCGTGTGACGCTGTTGAGGAAAAAAGTTTAAAACAAACCACAGACAAAGTGAACCTCGTCGTTGGTCCGTGAAAAGTCTTTTGTCACTCTTTTTTTTTCACTCTTTCAATCTTCATCAACTCGAAATCGGCCGCTGCAACTTCAGACACGGTGATCCACTTCTTTGTTTTTACCGCCCACGTGACGTCGTGACACACCAGCCGAGTCATGTGACCAACGTTTTCAGGTGGATTTGTGTTTCTGTGTGGACAAAGAAACGACGTGTCTGGACACAAATCGTTGATAATCGGTGATAAGTTGATTCATTTCAGCGTAAACGTGACCTAAATCTTCAAGGTGTGACAGGGCCGTAAAGTAGATCTGTTTAATTGTTTAATGTCACAGTGTGGAACATTCCAGACAGAGTAATAACATCTCCATAGAAACAAACAGGTGAGGGACCCTTGACCAAAAAGTGACACAGTGCAGCTTTAACCTGACACATGCTGTATCAGTGTGACCTTCCTCAAACATGTGGATTAAACTCGACGTATGAGCCAGATTTTCCTCATCAACAAAAAAAAACCTCTGGTTTGATCACTGCTAGAGACGCTGCTGTTGTGTCCTTGGGCAAGACACCCCCCGCCGTCCCCGCGTCGAGCTGTCAGAGAAGAAGAAGAAGAAGACAGCGCTCCTCCTCGTCACGTCCAAACTCCGGCGCCCGAGCTCCAAATGAAACGAGAGAACGTTTTATTTGCATAACCAGCGTGCGAGACGGTGTCTGTCTGTCTGTCAGCAGGGGCCCCCAGCGAGGGGCCCCCAGCGGAGGGGCCCCCAGCGGAGGGGCCCCTGACACAGACGCGCGCCGCCTGTCTGCGTGAGCCCTGTTCTCTGCCTCGTGGCATTTACTTGTGAAAAATCTGCAGCGAGAAAAATCTGCTCTGTGATGGAACATGACACCAGCTTCACCGAGAACGAGGAAAACACGGCTCCGTCCTCCCCGTCCTCTCCCGTCCTCCTCCTCTCGTTCCTCCTCCCCGTCTCCTCGCTCCTCCCGTCCTCCTCCTCCTCCCTCCCTCCTCCTCCTCCCCTCCTCCCCGTCCTCCTCGTCCTCCTCCTCCTCTCCTCCCTCGTCCCTCCTCCTCCTCCGTCCTCCTCCTCCTCGTCCTCCTCGTCCTCCTCGTCCTCCTCGTCCTCCTCCTCCTCCTCCTCGTCCGTCCTCGTCTCCTCGTCCTCCTCGCTCCTCCTCGTCCTCCTCCTCCTCCTCCCGTCCTCGTCCTCGTCTCCCGTCTTCCTCCTCCCTCCTCCTCGCTCCTCGTCCTCCTCCTCCTCCTCTCCTCCCTCGTCGCCTCCTCGTCCTCCTCGTCCTCCTCGTCCTCCTCCCCGTCCTCCTCGTCCTCCTCCTCCTCCCTCGTCCTCCCCGTCCTCCCCGTCCTCGTCCTTCCTCGTCCTCTCCTCGTCCTCCTCTCTCCTCCTCGTCCTCCCCGTCCTCCTCCTCCTCCCTGTCCTCCCCGTCCTCCTCGTCCTCCTCGTCCTCCCCGTCCTCCTCGTCCTCCTCCTCCTCCTCCTCCCCGTCGTCCTCGTCGTCTTCCTCGTCCTCCCCGTCCTCCCCGTCCTCCTCCTCTCCTCCTCCCCCCGTCGTCCTCCGTCTCCTCGTCTCTCCCCGTCTCCTCCTCCTCCTCCTCCTCCTCCTCCTTCCTCCCCGTCCTCGTCCTCGTCCTCTCCTCCTCGTCCTCTCCTCGTCGTCCTCGTCCTCCTCATCCTCCTCATCCTCCTCGTCCTCCTCGTCCTCCTCGTCCTCCTCGTCGTCCTCCCTCGTCCTCCCCGTCCTCCTCCTCCTCCTCGTCCTCCCCGTCCTCCTCGTCCTCCTCGTCCTCCCCGTCCTCCTCGTCCTCCTCCTCCTCCTCCTCCCCGTCGTCCTCGTCCTCCTCCTCCTCATCCTCCTCATCCTCCTCGTCCTCCTCGTCCTCCTCGTCCTCCTCGTCCTCCTCGTCTTCCTCAATGGCTCCGGAGGACGATTCTGTCACCGAGACGTAAATAAAACTCTGAAGAACGAAGCCGAGCGGCAGGAGACAGGAAAGACCTAAACAACACCACTTATATATTTACACATATAGACTCTTGCACATTTATACATTTATACATTTATACTGTAGACAGTGTTGGGAGGGTTAGTTTAGTCCTGGTTTAGTCCTGGTTTAAACCTCATTTAGTCTTGGTTTAGACCTCGTTTAGACCTGGTTTAGTCCTGGTTTAGTCCTGGTTTAGTCCTGGTTTAGTCCTGGTTTTAGTCCTGGTTTAGTCCTGGTTTAGACCTAGTTTTAGTCCTGGTTTAGTTCTGGTTTTAGTCCTGGTTTAGCCCAAAATGTGAAAACAGTAAAATCCCTCTGTGTAATCCATTTATTTCAACAAAGTAACTGTAATCCAATTACCACTCACTGAAACAGTGAACATGCAAGTGGCTGCATGTACGAGGATCATTTACTCTTTGATTAAATTCATTAGAAACTTGATCGTCTCAAAAACACCAGAAACACTGAACTGAAAATGAAGCATGTTCAGTGACGTGCATCAGTACTGCACAAGACAAACAGAGAGAGTCACTGTGTGACCGGCCTGTCACCTGTCACTCAAATCAAATCCAGAGGACAGTGCTCTATACAGCATGTATGTATATATGTATATATATATATATATGTATGTATATCTAGGTGTATGCATGTATGGGGATATATATGTATGTGGGTTTGGTCAAGTGGTAACGGAGGGAAACAGGGTCAGATTTTTGACATTCAAATGTCTCTTATTCAGAAACTAGAGGGACTATTGAAATAAGTAAAGTATCAGAATGTAGGAAAGAGTTACACTCCAACAGGGTCAAGTTAAACCTGTGAGATTCTTTCAAGTTCAAGACAAAAAATTTAAAAACTCATGTCGGTAACGGAGGGAATGAAATATGCAGCACTTTTTGGTCAATAAATCCAAACAGTGATAACTCTTGGTTCTCACTTCCATATCCTTAACAAACTGGTTTGAATATTTGCTTCATATAGTTTTCTACCATATGGTACAAGATTAGGTTGAAAAACCTCTGACTTTTTGACTCATGAGATTTTTTATTAAGAAAGTTCATGGTAACGGAGGGAAAAGTAACGGAGGGAAAATTGTACAAACAAGTAGAAGGTGCAGGATTTTACATCATTTGTCGCTTTTTTTTTCTGAAAACTTTAATATTACTTCAAAATGAAAGAAACTATTTCTATAAAATATGTCAGTCCTTCCAAGAACATTTTTATCATTTTAAATACTTTTTTTTGGAAAAATCCTGTCCCTTCATCAACAGTTCAAAGATGGAATAACACAAGATATGATGAAATACAAACATTTATTTACATGATTTTTGGGTCTTTGAAATTTGGGAAATAATTTTTGTTCCATGTTTCATTCATGGTCTGTTTAAAACGGATGGAACTTTAGAACCAAAAATGGTCCAGAAAAAAGGTCAACAGTTTCATAAACTAGAGACATATGTATCTGTTCAATACACTTTTTATATCAGATGCATTAACTTGAATTTTTGGCCTTGATGTTTACTTCTGTTTGACTGCGTCCATGTATATGTGCAAGTGTGTGTGTGTGTATGTGTGTATGTGTGTATGTGTGTATGTGTATGTGTGTATGTACATACATCTATGTGCCTCAATTATTATGATTATTTGTATATTTTTGTTATCTTTTGTCATCTTTCATTGTTAGTGTGAATGTGATGCATGTACATCCTGTTTTTATAGAATGTTACTGACCCCAGGAAGAATAGTTACTGTTTTTCAGTAATTTAATAATAATTTCAGTAATAATTTTCTCTGATTAATTAACACTGGTACATGTAATCTGTTACTCCCAAATATTGTCTGTAGCTCAGTGTTTCCCAAACCTTTTTTTCTGGGGACGATATTTTAAAAGTCACAGTTCTTCACGACCCAAGACAAAAAACATTCTTCTTAAATCATAAAATAAATCAGAGCATTATTGAACATTAACGAGGATATTTTATTGTTTCCTGAGTGATTGTGTCTCTGAACATTTAGTATTACCGTATTTTTCAGATTATAAGGCGCATTAAGTGAAACAAACAGACGACACTTGAGACTTTTTTATTTCCTGCGAGGACGACTCAAAAAAACATCGAGTCAGAATGTTTAATGCAGCTTGGACACGTTTGTTTACGTTCGCTTTCTGGTTTTGCCTACTTCATCCTTCTCTTTCTGTTTTTGTTTTTTTTTTTATAACTTTTATTTATATTTTATAAGGACGAGTTTCTTGTTGGTGCCAAATAAACATTAAAAGAAACTGTAATCATGGATCGCTTCATCTGCCGTGGAGAAACATCTGCTGTGGAGAAACGTCGGCTGTGGAGAAACGTCGGCTGTGGAGAAGGCGGCAGCGATGTCCAATCTAAAGATGTGAACATGGCAAACACGGATACAGCAAATATTTGTTCTCCTCTGACCATCAGCTCAATCTTCTGTCTCTTGATTTCTCCTCCATGTTCCTCACACATGTTTATTTTATGTGTGTGACTTGGATGAACCTGCTCATGTCGACTGTGACGTCACGGTTCACTTAGAAAAACTAGTTTTACTTGGTTTACTTTTGGGAACCAACATTTCGGTTCCTGAACGTTCTGCGTCAGGTGGTTCCAGATTCAGTGCGAGAAGCAGCACCAGCACGATTCTGTCGGCCTGAAAACACAAACTGAGCATTTTGTAGATAAAATGAGTTTATCAACAAACAGCGACGAGCATCTGAGACTCTGAACCAGGATAAAGACTCATAATTATCGGGATAAGACTCGTTTGCTCGTAAACTCACTCGATGTTTGTAAAAATCGCGATGGAGGAAGATCTGAACACGCAGGATTATGACGTGTGCTTCAGTTTGCTTCAGTTTGCTTCAGTTTGCTTCAGTGTTAAATATCAGACGTGCAGATCTGAGCCTCCACAGCAGCAGCTTCTGTTTCACCTCGGAGCTGCAGCGAGGATCCAGCGCCATCTGCTGGTCACTCGGAGTCAGTCCAGGAACAATAAATGACACGTCTGGTTCACGGTCGGTCGGACCTGAGGGGAGTTCACCAAGAGGAAGAGAAAGTGAAGTTTGTGAAGTGAAAAACTGGGTCAAACACCGAGACGTGAAGAATCATTTTAAAACACAAGATGCTGAGTTTGTGTTTTTGCACGACTAAAAGAGATTAGATTCTTAAAAGAAATTTTGAAAATAAAGAAATTAAAATGATTAAAATTAAGTATATTTCCTTTCCAGTTCCCTCTAAAGCAGGCACGTCCAAACTATGGCCCGGGGGCCAAATGTGGCCCTCAGACAAATTTTTCTTGGCCCTCAGACATTCAGGTGAATTGGCCCAAATTACCTTGCAACAATTAAAAAATATTTTTTGCTGCAAGTTTTTTGAAAATCTACCTCAATAAAGCTAATATTTAAAATGTAGTGTTTGGTTTTAAGGATCTTAGCCTGAATAAAGAGTCATTTTAATGTGTTAAACATGCACATTTTCATCTGTTCTCTGTATTGAGCGTCAGTCTGCGGCCCTCGATCGTCCCTCGATCGTCCCTCTGCTTTGTCTGTGTTTAGATATTTGGCCCTTGATTTAAAACGTTTGGACACCCCTGCTCTAAAGTGAAGGAGATACAACTTAAAATTTACAATAAAATTTATCCAACCAATGAAAAACCAAAACAAAAATTCAAATTTGAGACGGCGAATGTATTTTTTATATTTATGACACTTTTTTCTTTTTTTAAATGTGAGTTTGCGGAACAATTTTGGTTTGATTTTCAGTCTTGGTTTCAGTCCAGGGGAATTCCTTTTGCCCCTCTAACCATAAAAAAAAATAATAAATAATAATGTATTAATAGATGATAAAAGAATGAAACTTGGTATGAACAATTTATAGATTTTTAAGATGAAACCACATTTGAAGAACGACCTGAAACTTTTAGTTTGGGCCAAACTGAAAGAAAAGACGCTGCTTTTCTTGTGTCCTTTTGGAAAAATGTTTATTTATTCCTTTAACTCTTCCAGATCAACGATATCGTAAACAATACCTGGAATTATGTTTTATAAAAGCGCACAGAACTTTCCAATTATAAAAGGTAGAAACTTACTTTTTTAGTTGTGGTTTTCCGAGCACGTTCACATCGGGAAAACAAGTGTCCAACTGAGGATTTGCGTTTGACGTGTCAGTCACGTGATTTAATGTTTTGGCGTCCGCACTGGAGGTGAAGATTGAGATTATTCAGTTTATTACAATATAATCACGGCGACTTTGAACAGCGACATAAAAGTGTCTGAAATCTGCAGCTCGTTAGATCAGCGTCGTTAGAAAAGTATAAATCTAAAGTCGTCCTCCTGGGTTGTGGAACAGATCCTGATCTCTCACATCTGGTTAATGAAGCAGATCAGACGTGTTGTTTAAAAAGAGTTTGAGGAAATGTTTGATATTTCGCACTGATGTTTGATCATCTTTCAATTCTGGATGTTTCATTGTGTTTTAATCCGTGTTTGAATCAAAAGAATTGAATCCATGCTGTTTAAATGTCGGGCTTTAATATTTCGCCCTGTTGGGTTTTTTGTCTCTTCCGGCTCCTACTTTTTATCTAGTGTGTTTCTTTTTATTGTCATGTTATTTGTGCAAAATGAATAAATAAATAAATAAATAAATCATCTAATCCCGATGCAGCTCTGTGCCCAACTTCCACTATCTGTTTTTTTCATGTTAGATCTTTTTAGGAAATAAGCGAATACTTTGCTTTGTCTTTCAGCTGCGATGAGGTGAACGTGAATAATGACGGGACAAAATCTGGTCAAAGTGGACGTCAAGTTTTTACTTTCAGAAAACAGAAAAAACAGAAATAAACACAAGGTTCAACTCGGCTCGAAGGTTTTTATTGAAATAATTTGATTCCTTTAGTAGTAGTAGTAGTAGTAGTAGTAGTTAGTAGTAGTAGTAGTAGTAGTAGCTGCAGGTCGAAAACCTTTAAAGTAAATAAATCTGTAAAGAAATGTAATTTACATTTTATATAATCTATTTTAATTTTAATTAATACACTTCAATTATAATATTTATTATTTATCTATAATATCTATATCTATATATAATATTTGTTGTATTTATTTATAATATTTAATATACATTTTATACATGAACTTAAATAGCTCAAATTTTAACCAATCTATCATTTTACAAATACATTTTTAATCCTAAATATAACTTTTTTATACAGTTTTAAATGACTACATGAAATGAAATATTTTATTATTATAACATATATATTTTTAACTAGAGCTACTTTAACTTTACGTCATTTACTATAACTCAGATTTACTACTTTATAAATAAACTATTTAGTTTTTCAACTCAACAAGCTCTATTTTGGCATTTTCAAACTTAAACTGAATTTATTTACTATTTACTTTGACTAAACTTAAAACTAATTCTAAAGGTACATTTCCTCACCAGCGTCTCTGTGTTTCCTTCACGTTCCTTCGTTTGGTTCTGTTTGTGTTTGTTCACCTGGGCCTAAATCAATGATTCCAGAGACACACCTGGTCACCTGAGTTTTGTTCTTGCTGCCACCTACTGGCCAGACTAAAAATAACCTCATCAACTCATAAAAAGAGGAAGAGGAGAGAGGCTCAGGAGCGGAGCTGAAGACTCGCTGCAGGGGCTGGAATTGTTGGGTTTTGTTTTTTTTTTCTTATCCAGTTTCAAACCTGGTCTAAACCTGGTCTAAACCAGGACTAAAGCAGGTCTAAACCAGGACTAAAACAGGATTTAACAGGACTAAATCCTGCTGTGTGGACCTGTTTCTTCTTCTTCTATCAATAATATTTTTTATTTGGTTCAGTAAAATCTGGACTTTTTATTTTCTTTTATCAGACAAAACTTCTTATGTGAAGATTTCCTCGTCTTTGTTTCTCTACAACAAATCAAGTAATCCAAAGTATTCAGATTACATTACTCACTTTAAGTAATTTAATGGATTACGTTACAAACTACATTTTGGGGGATGTAATCTGTAGGGGATTACATTTTAAAAGTAAACTTCATAACACTGTTCATAGTGCAGAAAATACAACACTACACGTTGGTCCAGATGGAGTTTGACTCCAGTCTGGCAGCATAAACATCAGGTCACGTGGTTTTGTGACGTAGGAACCTTGTTTTCCATCAAACTCCTGCACTCCGTCCATTTTGATTGGTCCAAAGAGTGTAGTGAGTCAAAACGGCCGATGCTCTGAGCGTCTGTGTTCAGAACAATAAAAAAAGTCGCTCTAAGTGCAGATGTTTCTCACGTAAATGGACAAATTACGCTTAATCTTGTTCTGTGTCATTGCACATCCCTGGATAGTTTTATTTTCAGGTTTATTTGAGTCCAAACGTCCAAATCCAAATGTAATAAACACATGGAAATGCAGAAGTGATGTGGCTCTGAGCCCTGGACCTGAGGAAAGTCATGGAGTTTTTTTTGTTGTTGTTTTGAGGGAATAAGGAGATTTTTACTTTATTTACAGACTTGATATTTTGTACTTTTGTAGCTAAGGCCCTAAATTAAGCTTTTTTTAAGTCCAAAAAGTTGTTTAAACATGTTTGCTGTGTTTTGTATGAAAAAGTGTGAATTTTATTTTTCGTTTTTGCTTTTTTCCACGTGTATTTCGGGACCTGTACTTTTTATTACAGTGATTATGACACAACTACAGCAGCAGATTGTGAAAATAACAGGTTGTAGTGAAAAAAATTATATATAAAACCTCATTAGGGGGTAAAAGTGAGAGTTTTAAACACAAAATTAAGAAAAAAATCCAGGCGAGAACAAGATCTTGAAAGGTGACATTGTCCCTTTTATATGTGAATGTTTTTATTTGTTGTGTTTTTTTATGGATTTATTTTATTTTCAAAGTACGACGGAGTATAAGCGTCAGATTAAAAAAAAAAAAAAAAAAATGCTGGCACTATGAGAAGAAAGACACAACATTTCGACAACATTGTAATATGAGAATAAAGTCGAAACCAGAAAAAGTCGTAATTTTACAAGAATAAAGTCATAGTCAAAATAAAGTCGTAATATTAAGAGAATCTCAGCTGCTCGTAAAGTCTGAACGAGTGGAGAATGAGGAATTTGGAGCATTTTGTAAAGGAGAAGAATCCTGTGTATCATTCGTTCATTTGACTGAACAAGGACTGAATCAGATCTGGAACCAAACCAGAAAGACCAGGATTGAGACCAGGACCAGACCAGGACTGAAAACGGTTTAGTGTTGGTTTAGTCCTAGTCTAAGTCACGGAAATGGGAAACGGCGTTTTTGTGACTTTTAAATGTGATGCGGGACTAATGCGCCGCATACGGACTGAACCAGGACTGAACCAGGACTGAACCAGGACTAAACCAGGACTGAACCAGGACTGAACCAGGACTGAACCAGGACTGAACCAGGACTGAACCAGGACTAAACCGTTTTCAGTCCTGGTCTGGTCTCGGTATCACGGTTTGGTCCTGATCCTGTTCCCGGTCTCAATCCTGGTCTCAGTCCTTGATCCCGGACCTGGTTTAGTCCTGGTTCAGTCCGGAGAAGCAAATAACAAAGAAAATTGTTGTTTTTTTTGTTTTCTTATTTTTGGTTTTATATTGAAAAACACTTTTTCACTTTGACTTTGATTTTATTACGACTTCATTCTCGTAATATTAAGATTTTTTTTTTAACTTTGACTTTATTCTTGTAAAATTATTACTTTATTCTCTTAAAATTAAGACTTTAATGTCAAAATGTTGTGACTTTATTCTCGTAGTACGAGTATACGGGTCAGATAAAAAAAATAAAAAAAAGATGCTGGTGCTACGAGAATAAAGTCATAACATTTCAACATTAAAGACATAATACTATGAGAATAAAGTCGTAACATTTTGACATTAAAGTCTTAATTTTAAGAGAATAAAATAATAATTTTACAAGAATAAAGTCAAAGTAAAAAAAAAACAGTCTTAATATTATGAGAATAAAGTCGAAGCCAGAAAAAGTCGTAATTTTACAGGAATAAAGTCGAAGTTAAAATAAAGTTATAATATTACGAGAATGAAGTCGTAATAAAATCAAAGTCAAAGTGAAAAATGCAGCAGAAGAAGAACCTTGTTTTTCACTATAAAACCAAAAATAAGAAAACAAAAAAACACTAAACCAGGACTAAACGAGGTCTGAGACCAGACCCGGACTGAGACCAGGACTTAGACCGGGACCAGACAAGGATTGAGTCAGGGACCAAGACTGAGACAGGGATCAGACAAGAACTGAGACCAGGATTGAGACCGGGAACAGGACCAGGACTGGGACTGGGACCAGACCAGGACTGGGACCAGACCAGGACTGAAAACGGTTTAGTCCTGGTTCAGTCTGTATGCGGCGCAATATTCCCACATTGCATTTTAAAGTTACGGAAACGCCATTTCCCATTTCCGTGACTTAAACCAGGACTAAACTAGGACTAAACCGTTTTCAGTCCTGGTCTGGTCCTGGTCTCAATCCTGGTCTTTCTGGTTTGGTTCCGGACCAGATTTAATCCTGATTCAGTCCTTGTTCAGTCGAATGAACGAATGATCCATGGATTCTTCTCCTTTACAAAATGCTCCAAATTCCTCATTCTCCACTTGTTCAGACTTTCCGAGCAGCTGAGATTCTCTTAATATTACGACTTTAATGTCAAAATGTTACGACTTTATTCTCGTAACGCCAGCATCATTTATTTATTTTTTTTATCTGACCCTTATACTCCGTCGTAATAAAATGCAGTTTTTGTTTGATTTTTTGTTTTTAATTGCAGATTTTTTAGATACAGAAACTTGGAGACACAGATGTTCTAAAGACAAAACCAGCCACAGACAGCTCCTCTTTACTTTGTTCTTTATTACACATTAAATAGGAGTGGTGAGATTCATGGCAAAAAATAGACTCATTTGAGATGGGGTCACCACTGCACGGCGCCCCCTGCAGGCGAGTGGTCATTCATCCGCTTCCCATCGACCCGAACCCGACCACGAACGCGAAGAGGAGCCGCCTCCGTTAAAAAGCAACATCGTTTAAGAGACACACACACCAACCAAACATGAAGCACGTTTTTTTTTTACAAAAAATCTGCACCAGAGTTCGGGATCACAACTGTACAAAGGCCGTGAAAATACGATCAGGTCGAAGCTCCTCAGACGAGACCCGAACGCTGTTGGCACGAGAGAAAAACGGGGACGTGGAGAAAGGACACGTCAGAGAAGTTAAACGGTTTGATATTACGCCGAACCGACTCCTGTGAGCGTCAAGTCGTGTTCTGATGTCGTTCCTCTTCCAAAACAGACCTGGAGTTGTGCGTTTTGCGTTTTGTTTTTGTGTCTACGTCCCCAAAAATCTCTCAAAACGCTCTGTTCCAATTTGTGATGTGAAGAGAACAGCTCCGTTTACCTTTAGTTCGTTTGGAGATTGGAGGATTTCGCTACTGGAATCGCCAAAAGATCCAGAGTTTGACGGGAAAAACTCAAGCTAAATTTCGTTTAAGGAGGAAATATGAGGTATGAGGGCCGAGTAAAACTGGTCTGAGGGCCGCGTTGGGCTCCCGGGCCATAATTCGGACGTGCCTGTTCTGTTTCTATATCATAAAAATGAAAACGTGAACGTACCAGACCAAACGTCAGGCCTCGTTTGTGTCGTTTTAAAGATCTTCCTGAAGCCGCGCACATTTTTTCAGTTTGTAAAATCAATAAAATCCTCATTTCCTCACAGAACTTTACTACGAAATCATATTTGAAATCATTTTTTTAATCTTTAATCAACTTTTTTAATCAAGGGCCAGATTTCTAAACGTCTGAAGGACTGAAGCAGAGGACTGATCGACGGCTGTGAACTGGAGCTCAATACAGTGAATAATTCAAATCTGTGCAGGTTTAACTCGTTAAAATGACTTTTATTCACGCTGAGATCCTTAAAACCACAAACTAACTATTAAATATTGGTTTTATCAAGGTTGATTTTCAATAAACTTGCAGTAAAAAGTTCATTTTTAATTGATGCAAGGTCATTTGGTCCAATTCACCTGGACGAGGGTCAAGAAAAATTTGTCTGAAGGCCGCATTTAGCCCACGGGCCATAGTTTGGACACGTCTGGTTTAAAGTTTCCAGTCGTCCCAGTTTTGAGTCTGTGTCCCCCGTCCCACAGATTTAAACAAAACCACTCATTTGTCACAATTTTATAAAAGAAATGTATAAATGTATTTTGTATTTTATATTTTTGTTCCACCAAAACAGAGTCTTACATTAGAGTTTATTTTTAAGTCTATTTTTAAGTCTTTATTATCTGTTTTATTGCGCGTTACTATTTTCCTGCGGTTCTTGAATTGCGCGTTGCAACACTGGAATTTCCCCACTGTGGGACTAATAAAGGCAAATCTTATGTCCCAGTGTTTCTATTTTTGACCGATTTGATCTAAACCAGGACTAAACCGAGTCTAAACCGAGTCTAAACCAGGACTAAACCGGGTCTAAACCGAGTCTAAACCAGGACTAAACCGGGTCTAAACCAGGTCTAAACCAGGACTAAACCGGTCTAAACCAGGTCTAAAACAGGACTAAACGGGTCTAAACCGGACTAAACCAGGACTAATACAAGACTAAACCAGGACTAAACCAGGTTAACCAGGACTAAACCAGGTCTAAACAGGACTAAAGAAGAACTAATACAAGACTAAACCAGGTCCAAACAGGTAAACCCTAAACCAGGTCTAAACCAGGTCTAAACCAGGTCTAAACCAGGTTTAAACCAGGACTAAACCAGGTCTAAACCAGGTCTAAATCAGGACTAAAGAAGAACTAATACAAGACTAAACCAGGTCCAAACCAGGTCCAAACCAGGTCTAAACCAGGTCTAAACCAGGTCCAAACCTAAACCAGGACTAAACCAGGACTAAACCGGGTCTAAACCGAGCCTAAACCAGGTCTAAACCAGGACTAAACCGGGTCTATAAACCAAGCCTAAACCAGGTCTAAACCAGGACTAAACCGGGTCTATACCGAGCCTAAACCGGGTCTAAACCAGGTCTAAATCAGGACTAAAGAACTAATACAAGACTAAACCAGGTCCAAACCAGGTCTAAACCAGGTCTAAACCAGGTCTAAACCAGGTCTAAACCAGGTCTAAACCAGGACTAAACCAGGTCTAAACCAGGACTAAACCAGGTCTAAACCAGGACTAAACCAGGACTAAAGAAGAACTAATACAAGACTAAACCAGGTCCAAACCAGGTCTAAACCAGGTCTAAACCAGGTCCAAACCAGGTCTAAACCAGGTCTAAACCAGGTCTAAACCATGACTAATCTTGGACTAATCTTATACTTGAGAGGGAGAACCCCGAGCCTGTAGACGAGGGCGTCAGCAAAGCGCGATCGGGCGACGGCTGCACTTCGTCCTGTGAGCTCGTCCACACGATCAGTCCCGGTTTGGTCCTGGTTAAGTCCTGGGATCAGTCCTGGATCAGTCCTGGATCAGTCCTGGGATCAGTCCTGGGATCAGTCCTGGGATCAGTCCTGCTGGTTCAGTCCTTCTGGTTCAGGGCTGGTCCCTTCATGAGTCTATGTTTCTGAGTTTATGTCTTTGTTTTCACCGTTGCCAGTCAATCGTAGCTATTTTTTATTCATTTACATGTTATTTTTTTAATCTCACGTTGGGAGAAGTGGGCGGACGGCGAACCTCCCGCGTACCACGCCCACTACACTCCTGAAAAAAGGTAACAGCAGCTTCCAAAATCGGATTGGGAAAGAATGAATCGCGTTAGAAAAAATTAAAAAAGAAAACACACAATTTTGGACTAATCTGATCCTCGCCAAGAGTTTGCGAATGAACAAAAAGCAAAAAAAAATGCAGCGTCAGAAGCTCCTCAGATCACGACCGGCTCTTTTATTCCCAACCCGGGTGTGTCCCAGTTTAGAATTCAGAAAATCCAGTCACTTTTATCCCAAAACTCCAGGTCTGTTTGTGACGACGACACTTTAGAACAGCTCAGAAAACGTAACGGCGTAAAATAAACCGTTTAACAACAGGTTTCCATTTATTTTTACAGTCGTCACCTTCATCAAACTGGAAGTCAAAAAAATAATAATAATAAAATAACCTACAAATCAACATGGATCGTTTTGGGAATATTCCGTAATGTCTTTCTTTTCTTTTTCCGAGTTACACAAGTCACTGTCTACGCTCTAAATTAGCACCTAATGCAAAGAAAAGGCAAACGCGAAAGTCCCCTGGGAAACCGGTCGGATGGAAATGAGCCGTTTGAGCGGAAAAAAATCGCTTTAAAACATCCGAAACCAAAAACGAAAAGGCGGTTTCTATGAGTTTGTTTATTAGCCTCAGGTCCGAGCGTCACCTGAACCGACCGTGGCCCGTTTTGATCAGTTCAAATGTGAGTTCGAATGCCGTTTTACAGTTATTTTATGTGTTTTTTTTTATTATTACAAATACATTTTCTGAACCCTTCTTTCACAAAAATCATAAAGTTATACCATCATTAAAAAACAGTTAAAAACAATGAATCAGCTTTCGTTATCGTAATTAATTTCAGATTCTAGACAATTCCGTGAACTCTCAAATGAAAAGCAGGAGTCGTATTCGTTAATCAACTATTATCAATTATGAAAAAATCCTAAAAAGTCTCTGCTTAAAGGCGCGACGTGGAACTTTTCTCGAGGAGGGTCCGTCCGTCCGTCCGTCCGTCAAGAGCTTTTTTTTCCTCGGAGATTTGTCGTCTGGAATGTTTCACGGGGCGGCAGGAATGGAATTAAATCGTTCTGTCTTCACGGGAACCAAACCGGGCAGAGTTACAGGTCGGATCAGTGGAGAGGCGACCCCGCTCAGAGTCAGGATGTCGGTTTTTCGAGGGAATTTTGAGCTCTAAAACCACCTGTAACTGATTAAAAAGTCAGACTGTGGAGCAGGAGTTTCCGATCTGTCGCTCTCTACCGTCTTCCACGAAGCTCGGCAAGGGATTTCGGAATTCTACCAGTGCCGAGTAACAAAAATGTGGTTAATTAAATGCCCATTATCGTTATAAATGTGTAATTTTGGAGCCAAACTTTGTGCATTAATAAACAGACAATGGTTTATGTTTTTATCGGCGTCTTAACTCATGGATCTATTAAAATATCTGGATAAGGAATTCCGTCGGTCCCAGCTCCTGGTGGACACTCCAGGTACTGCAGCTCCGGGAGTTTGGGCATTTTGGGAATTCAACCTGCCGTCCGGCTTTCACAAAGATCCGATTTTGTTGGGTTCTTTTCAATTTTCACAACATAAACTTGTTTAAATTGTTTAAATCCTCAAATTTCCAGAAAGTGATCTTTGTCTGACTGAGCCTCGCCGTCCTGATTGGTCCAAACGCTCCACGTCGTGCAAGTTACAGACCTAAAGATTATTTTATTTCTGCGTCGACTCTTCGCACTCCGCCGCCGTCGTCCTGTCGCCGTTGTTTTTGATTTTATGGATCTGCGTCGAGGTCTAAGCGCCGCGAAGTGATTCACCGCCACAACACTTCAAGGCCAGGATTTAAAACTGGTGCTCGAGTTTACAAAATGAAGCGGGAAAGCGGAGAACCGCAGCCCTTATTTTTTGCGTCGCTTTCCCTGCTGTCTGCGACGGTTAGAAAATTTCAGAAGTGCACGTCGGTCGAAGCAGGAGCGGGTTCAAAGCGACGCAGACGATTTCGGATTCCTGAATTCTACCAGTGCTGATTAACAAATTGACGCCGACGATTTCACGCACGACCGCAAATTGGGCTTTACACAGGTGGGAGGAGCTCATAAACGCGGAAGAGAAAATTATTTTTGGGTCCGCGAACCAACGAGCACAGACCCCTGAAAACACGACGCTTCAGCTTCAGATTTGGTCCAAGTTCTGCGATCTAGAGCTCTGCGCGGGACAGAACTCTCAGTCCCGCTTTTGCCCGCGAAAGAATTGTATTTTTTATTCCCGCTCCTGCTCGTATCCGCAATATTTTGCCCTTAAATCCCGCAAGATGTGGACGTTCTCTTTCTTACACTCTAAACACGAAGACGCAGAAAGGAACTGTCTAAAATGTGCGCGAGATTAGATCACGTTCCGCAAGTTCAGGCTGCTTAAAAATGTGTTTATTAACGCCAAATAAAATGTCCAGCACAAATTGTGTATGATAGACAAACAGGAATCATTTGTGTATTTTATTTTTTTGTATTTACTGTTTTGCGTTGGGTCTGTACTCTGATCGAACCGTAAAAGCGTCTCGATAAAACGAGCAGCTCTCTGTCGTTTTTGTTTCGTAACGGCGTCTCACCAGAGTAAAAAAGGTTTTAGACTCCTGCTGTGGAACATTCCAGACAGAAAAACGAGAAAACGACGGACTCTCCGACCAGAAAACCTCCACGACGCGCCTTCAAACCCCCGCAGCAGGCGCTCTCCCCCCTCTGCAGGCCACCGACAACACTCCGCAGTCAGTCCGGACGCCGGTGTCGACCCGGAACTGCGCGAAAAAAAAAAAAAAAGAACCATCCAAACAGAAGGAACACCCCCCCCCCCCCCCCATGATAAAAAACACAGACAGAGTTAATCGGAGCCCGCGTGGTCGGGGTCCGGACAGCAGTCGCATGCAGACTAGAAAAAGACGGAACTAAGTCACAAGAAGAAGAGGTCGTTCACATCGGGAGGAGGAGGGGGACATTACATTACACAGTGGATCTCGTTTATCTCGTCCCGATCCTTTTTCGGAAAACATCGACAGGGTTATAAATTAGCTCTTTGGCACCCCGAAGCGCTCAGGGGGAAGGGGGAAGTTTGATCCGACGGGAAGTAGCTACAGCATTAAAATTGTATAAAACGTCCAAAATAAAATGTTAGGATGAAGGCCACTGGCACTAAAATAAGCTTATGGAGTCCGGCGAGCGAATAACAAGGCTGTCGAAACGGGCGCTTTGAAAGAGGCTAATAATTTAGTGTAATGTACAAAAACGTCGGGACTGGGAACTGTTCGGCGTGGGTTGGTTTTTTTTTCTTTTCCCGGGGGGGTGATTCACATGAGCGTGCACTTTGTCTTGGACTTCTTCTTCTTCTTCTTGCCCTCCTTGCTCATTTTCTCCTTATGCTTCCGGATTTCTCGCACTAAAGTGTAGAAGGCGTCGTCCACTCCCTGAAACGAAGGACAAAAAAAAAACAAGGAAATTACAGACGGGTTTATTATTTTCGGCGAGCCAGCTACGGCGCGCATTTGCATTTAAATGATGTTTTGGGTTTTTCAAAAATGGCCCCAAAAAGGTCAGAACACAATGCGGCCGCTCTGGTCCGGGCTATTGAACTGTTGTTTTCTCCCACTTCAATTTTATCTGAAGGGATTTTGTGAAATTAAAACATAAAAAGTATCAGAATAACCCAAAGGAGCGCGGACGCAGAGCTGCTCTTTAACATTCAGACGGCTTAAGAACGCGTGTACCAATTATGAGCGCCGTTAGAATGGACTTGTACGGAAGTTTAAAATAGAAAATCAACCAAAGCAGCCGCATTAAAGAAAGGTTTTTAACATTTAAAAAGGCCCATTATAAAACTGATTTGTGTTTTAATGTCGTTTCCTCGTCACAAACGGACCTGGAGTTGTGCTTTTTTTTTGTTTCATTCACAAGTTTTAAAACACACAAACTCTGCACTTTTACGCTTTAAAGTTCTTCTCTCAAAAACAGAAAACACTCTGTTCCACCTTGTGATGTCATGTGGTAAAACAGAAAATGCTCCACTGTGTTTTTAAAGTCCACACACCTTCACTAGAATCATCTGGATGATTTCAGCTCTGGAATTGTATAGAGCAGAAAAGTTTTCAGAAATATTCATGAGCATATTTGTTTGTAGTTGAGCGTAAAATAAATAAAACTCTAGAATGAGTCGAGTCGTACGTAAAATGTGTTGTGTGTATTTTATCCATCAAAATATGAACTGAAAAGTTACAACGTCAAGAATTAAAATCACCAAATGAAAATTTACAATTTCACTTTCTTCAGTACGACACGACGAACACGAATTCACAGACGCGACTCGACTGTCAGAAATACACTTCACAGGCAGAAGAAACATCGAATGAGATGTTGGACTTTTGTGCCACATACGGACTGAATTAGGACTGATCCAGGTCTAAACCCGGACTAATCTGGGACTAATCTGGGGACTAATCTGGGGACTAATCTGGGGACTAATCTGGGGACTAATCTGGGACTAATCTGGGGACTAATTTTGGACTAATCTGGGGACTAATCTGGGGACTAATCTTGGACTAATCTTGGACTAACTTTGGGACTAATCTGGGGACTAATCTGGGGACTAATCTTGGACTAACTTTGGGACTAATCTGGGGACTAATCTTGGACTAATCTTGGGACTAACTTGGGACTAATTTTGGGACTAATCTTGGGACTAATCTTGGACTAATCTTGGACTAATCTTGGGACTAACTTTGGGACTAACTTTGGGACTAATCTTGGGACTAACTTTGGGACTAATCTTGGGACTAATCTTTGGGACTAATCTTGGGACTAATCTTGGGACTAATCTGGGGACTAATCTTGGGACTAATCTGGGACTAATCTGGGACTAATCTGGGGACTAATCTGGGGACTAATCTGGGGACTAATCTGGGGACTAATCTGGGGACTAATCTGGGGACTAATCTGGGGACTAATCTTGGGACTAATCTGGGGACTAATCTGGGGACTAATCTGGACTAATCTGGGGACTAATCTGGGGACTAATCTGGGACTAATCTGGGGACTAATCTTGGACTAATCTGGGGACTAATCTTGGATTTGAGAGCGAGAGGGGGAGAACCCCGAGTCCGCGGAGCAGGGTGTCCGTAAAGCGTGATCGGGCGACGGACGATGACTTCATATTCATACTGAAGAAAGTGTAAATTTTATTCGGTGATTGTAATTTACATTTTATGTACGACTGGACTCATTCCAGACTTTTAAAATATTTATTTTATGCTCAACTACAGACTTGGCTGCAAACTACCGCTTCATGACATCACAAGGTGGAACAGAGCATTTGGAGCGTTGGAGATGTAGAGAGACTAATAATAAAGAGTGACTCAAACATGTGAATGAAACAAAACACAACTGCAGCTCTGTTTTTGAGGAGGAAACAACATTAGAACATGACTCATACGTAGGGATGGGACGAGATACAATTTTGACGAGACGGGTGTCGAGATTCAGTCAACGAGATCGAGACAAGACGAGACTTATTTAATTTTTGATAAATAAATTGTGATGATCAGTTCACAATTTTGCTTCAGTTTTTTGCTTTATTGAATGTGTAGAATTTCTCATCCAGTAGAATCCATGGCAAAGGAGACAAGTCAGGTCCTGAAGAAGCAGCCTGGATTTGACCAATTAAATTTCTCCTTTGCCATGCTTTATTTAATGTTAATTTACAGTTGTTGTAGTCGTGTTTTTTGGTATCGCAGCTTCTCAAGAGGCGTTAACCTGCTTTTTCTTTCAAGAGAAATATAAAAATGTAAGGAAAAAAAAATCACAAGATAATTTTCCTCATCTGGTCCTGGTCAAGCAGAAGTAAACAACAAGGCCAAAAATTCAAGTTAATTCATCTGATATAAAAGTGTATTGAACAGATACATATGTACTCTAGTTTATCAAACTGTTGACCTTTTTTCTGTACCATTTTTGGTTCTAAAGTTCCATATGTTTTAAACAGACCATGAATGAAACATGGAACAAAAATTATTTCCCAAATTTCAAAGACCTGAAAATCATGTAAATAAATGTTTGTATTTCATCATATCTTGTGTTATTCCATCTTTGAACTGTTGATGAAGGTACAGGATTTTTTTTTTTTTTTTATGTATTTAAAATTATAAAAATGTTCTTGGAAGGACTGACATATTTTATAGAAATAGTTTCCTTTCATTTTGAAGTAATATTAAAGTATTGAGAAGAAAAAAGTCAATCAAATGATGTAAAATCCTGCACCTTCTACTTGTTTGTACAATTTTCCCTCCGTTACTTTTCCCTCTGTTACCATGAACTTTCTTAATAAAAAATCTCATGAGTCAAAAAGTCAGAGGTTTTTCAACCTAATCTTGTACCATATGGTAGAAAACTATATGAAGCAAATATTCAAACCAGTTTGTTAAGGATATGGAAGTGAGAACCAAGAGTTATCACTGTTTGGATTTATTGACCAAAAAGTGCTGCATATTTCATTCCCTCCGTTACCGACATGAGTTTTTAAATTTTTTGTCAACAACTTGAAAGAATCTCACAGGTTTAACTTGACCCTGTTGGAGTGTAACTCTTTCCTACATTCTGATACTTTACTTATTTCAATAGTTCCTCTAGTTTCTGAATAAGAGACATTTGCATGTCAAAAATCTGACCCTGTTTCCTCCGTTACCACTTGACTGAACCCAGGTTTGCATCGTGTTGTGTCAATTTTTTTCTTGTGAGATTTACTGGCACGAGCTCTTGTCCCATCCCTCGTCATAAGAGTAAATTTTGCGTCATATAGAACCTTTAATACTGAATTGGATATTATCTAAATCAACTTTTTACCATCTTTTTTTAAGTTCTTGGCAAATATTTTGGCCAACTAAAATAAAAATAAAAGTAAAACATAATTATTCGGATACATAAACATTCAAAATCCCACCTAAACCAGAATAAAACTGAGAATTTACTTCCACTGAATCCTAAACCAGGACCAGGCCTTTCCTTTCTTTCCTTTACACTTTTACGTTTACATTCTGAACTCGTCCGCGACATCGATTTACAGAAACACAACAGAACACGTTATTACCAAAGCAGCTTGAGTCTGCAAAATCGCACACCGAGATAAAGCAGGAAGAAAATGACCGAAAGTTGCAAAGCTCGACAAAACGAACGCCGTAAAAAAAAAAAAAAAAAAAACGAGACAAAGAGAGAGCAGCGACGAGGGGTCTTCTGAGGGGACGAGGCTCGGGCCCGGAAGAAGGTCTCGTGGAACGGACCAGCGCACATCCTCCAGGAAACACCGCAGATAACAGCTGGATTTACAGTCAAGTCCGACCAGAACCCCCTCCCCCCCGAGTCGCCAAGGCCGGTCTGCTTTCACGTTTCTGCACCAACGTTCAACTCTGTAGCTCAAATTTCGTGTATTTTCTTTCCAAATTCTGTCCCGTCTGCCAAAATAAAAGGGCTGGAGTTGAAATGATGAGTTGTGTTTTTTATGATCTCATCTCTTTTTTTAGAGATTTTGTCAGATCGTGATTCAGTTTTTTCGTGAGTTTTTGCCGCCCGCTCCTCCCGCGAGATTCATACAACTTTCCATTTTCGGTTTTGGTTGATAAATGGTTGATTTTAGGTTGTTTTCGGATGTGTTCGTGACGAGGAAATGACATGAGATCAGATCTGGAGTTGGGTTTTGTTTCTTTCACGTGTTTAAAAGACAAAACCTGCAGATTTAGGCGTGAGTCTGTTTACACTTCTGAGTCTCCGTACGAACGCAGATTTTGAAGATGCCAAACTTTTGCGCTGTGTATGGACTGATCCAGGTCTAAACCAGGCCTAAACCGGGACTAAACCAGGACAAAAGCAGGAATAAACCAGGTCTGAATCAGGTCTAAACCAGGTCTAGCCCAAGACTAACCCAAGACTAAACCAGGTCTGAAAAGGTCTGAATCAGGTCTGAATCAGGTCTAAACCAGGTCTACCCCAAGACTAAACCAGGACTAATCCAGGACTAAACCAAGACTAAACCAAGACTAAAGCAGGTCTGAATCAGGACTAAACCAGGACTAAGCCAGGACTAAGCCAGGTCTAAGCCAGGTCTAAGCCAGGACTAAGCCAGGTCTAAGCCAGGTCTAAGCCAGGACTAAGCCAGGACTAAGCCAGGACTAAGCCAGGACTAAGCCAGGACTAAGCCAGGACTAAGCCAGGACTAAGCCAGGACTAAAGTAGGTCTGAATCAGAATTGAATCAGGACTAAATCAGGTCTAAACTGGGACTAACCCAAGACTAACCCAAGACTAACCCAAGACTAACCCAGGTCTAAACCAGGACTAAATCAGGACTAAACCAAGATTAAACCAGGTCTGAATCAGGACTAACCCAGGACTAACCCAGGACTAACCCAGGTCTAAACCAGGTCTAACCCAGGTCTGAATCAGGACTAACCCAGGACTAACCCAGGTCTAAACCAGGTCTAAACTAATCTTGGTCTAGGTCTAGGACTTGGACTCTAGTTCCGTCCTTGAGTGAACCCTGAGTTCGTGGAGCAGTTTTTTCCTCAAATCTCGATCGGGCGTCGGCTGCTCTTCGCCTCGTGGAGCGTCGAGTTCTGCGTCGACCCTTTCGCCCGCGGTCACCCGACGGTCTACGCGGGCGTCACCTCCGACCCGACCCGACACTCGGAACCGGATCGATGATGAGATTTTAACAAATTTGTACGAAGAAAAACGAAAAACCCACCACTTCAATCCAGGTTATAAACGCTTTGTGACGCTCGTTACTCACATTTGTACGAATAAAATATAATAATAAGAGTTTCTCAAACGTGTGAAAGAAACAAAACAACTCCAGGTCTGTTTGAGAGGATTAAATCATAGTTTAGATCTGAGTAACGTGGGACCTTTAAGATGTAAGTTCACACTTCACTGGTTGATTGAGCAACACGTGGGTTTAACCAAAGTCTCACAACAAAAAATAAAAGTGTCTGTTTGAACACAAAGCTGCGTTAAAAGGAGAAACAGTGACTCACGATTTGACAACATTACGACCAAAATAGACGATCGTCACAGAGATGAGATCAGAGTTTAATTTTACCGCAGGATCACCCAGCCCTGAATCGAGAAACCAAGATAAATCCTAAATAGAGACAGATCGATTTAACATTTGGCCGATATTTGCACTTTTAGAGTATCAGGAATCGGTCTTGAATCTCCAACTCAGACCGATATTTAGATTTGTCTGATCTACAGATGAACCAAGTAAGTTTAATAAAAGGTACAATTCAGGACGATTTTCCAGCTGATTTCCTTTGGATGTGTAGACAGACTAATGATGAATGAATAAAACACAACTCCAGGTCAATTTGTGACGAGGGAACAACAAAACAACACAGTTTAAAGTTTTGTTTTGTGTGATTCAGGAGGTTTAAGTGCAGTGGTGAAAACAGACCGTAAAAGTGCAGCTCAACACGACTGATTGAGGTAAAACGATCCGTGTGCCGTTAGTTCGTTCGTTTTTCAAAATAAAACCAAAAATAAGAAAATGAAAAAAAACTAAATAACTATTTTCTTCATTATTTGTCTCCAAAGCCAAACTTTAAAAAATGGATGATGATTTATTTTTTCAGTTTTTGATTTTGTGTTTAAATGAAAAATGGAAAAAAACATAACGGACGTTTCCTGTTTCCCAAACCAGGACTAAACTGAGACCCGGTCCTGTTCCCGGTCTCAGTCTCTGCAGTTTATGCAGGCACAACTCTGGGCCTGTCCCAACACTCAGTCCTGGGCTCAGTCCTCGGATCAGACCTGGTTTAGACCTGGTTCAGTCCTCGGATCAGACCTGGGCTCAGTCATGGTTTAGTCCTGGATCAGACCTGGGCTCAGTCTTGGTTTAGTCCTGGTTTAGACCTGGGCTCAGTCTTGGGCTCAGTCTTGGTTTAGTCCTGGTTTAGAGTCTTGGGTTTCAGTCCTGGTTTCAGTCTGGTTTAGTCTTGGGCTCAGTCCTGGTTCAGACCTGGGTCAGTCCTCAGATCAGTCCTTGGATCAGGTCTTGGGCTCAGTCTTGGTTTAGACCTGGGCTCAGTCTTGGTTTAGTCTTGGTTTAGTCCTGGTTTAGTCTTGGTTTAGTCCTGGTTTAGTCCTGGTTTAGTCCTGGTTTAGTCCTTGGTTTAGTCCTTGGTTTAGTCCTTGGTTTAGTCCTGGTTTAGTCCTGGTTTAGTCCTGGTTTAGACCATTATCCATTTTTTCCATTTTTCATTTAAACACAAAATCAAAAACTGAAAAAAAAACAAATCATTATCTGTTGTTTCATTTCGGTTTTAGAGACAAATAATGAAGAAAATAGTTGTTATTTTCGTTTTATTCTTGGTTTTATTTTGAAACACGAACAAACGAACGACACACGGATTTAAAAACAGACCCAGGGAGAAACAGAGACTCATCGACAATCAGCGAGAATGAGAAGATTCTACAAAACATCAGAATTATTCACAAAATGAATCCAAACGATTCAGACGCCCAGAAGATCCCAGCAGCAGGACAGACCCCAGGAAGCCACGTCCCACAATGCACCTGTCCTCACGTCCACAGAGTCCACAGACGCTCCACCGTAGACTGTGTACACAAATGGACGCGGCCCGACCAAACAGGAAGTGAGCACGGCCGAGATTCTGGCTCCATCCGCTCCGGCTCCAGTTCACTTTGTATTGAAAAAAAAATCTCACCCATAGCTTCAGAAATGCTGCTGTCAGACTCCTCGTTTTGGTTTTAAGGCTCATTTCTGCTCCAATTTCAGACGTAAACAGATCCACGTGTTCCAACTGTATTTAGACTAAACCACCAGCAGAGGGCACCGACAATCAGTTTGAGAAAAAGCTTTTTTTTAAACGCTTACGTCACAAACCAGGAAGACGTTTGTGCAGTCGACAAACTGAATTTCTCCTTTGCCAAAGTTTATTTTTGGTCAAATTATTTTCTCAGCTCGTTCAGACTGCTTCTTCAGTTCTGGTCACACGCTGGTGGACACTTCCTTATCCTGTTCTCTGCTCATCTTTTAGTATCCTTTTCCAGTTTTTTTTATTTATTTTTTTATAATTGTTTTATAAGTTGTTTTTTTATTTTATTTATTTTTGTTATTACTTATTATTACTTACTATTGTTATTTTATTTTATTTGATTTATTTTATTTTACTTATTTTATTTTTGTTATTACTTATTTTATTTTTAATTTATGTATTATTTAATTTATTTTAATTATTTATATATATTTTTATTTTTTTAGTATCCTTTTCCAGTTTTTTTTTTACTTATTTATTTTTATTTATTTTTGTTATTACTTACTATTGTTATTACTTTATTTGATTTGATTTATTATTTAATTTATTTTTACTTTTTTGTTATTATTACTTGTTATTTTATTTTATATATTATTTAATTTTATTTATTTATTTATACATACTTATTTTTTTTTTATCCTTTTCCAGTTTTCTTCCAGTCCAACAGTGTTTGGCTCATAGTTGTCCTCAAGACATGTGTAAAATCCTTTCAGTCGTCCAGGTAGAATCCACGGCAAAGGAGAAATTGGACCAAGTTTATTTGGTTGAATATGTTTCGTTAGCCTGATTCATGAGACAGTTTCACTTCATAGACTCCGTGTGACCTCACAGCATTAGGATTCGTTCACTCGACAAGTAGGCGGGTACTTTTTTTTTTTTTTTAAATAAATAAAAATTTTGAAAATGATGACGACACTGAATATACGTCTCTTCTCTGATTGGCTGGTGCCTGAACTCACACTTCTGAGGTTCTTCCAAATCGTCTAGTGTTTTCTGATTCCTGATCTAGTCGCTGGAGAGAAATTAAATTAAGTGAAGGTACTAAGTGGCGCCAGTCTGATTAACGTTTCGCAGCTCTGCAAAACAAATGTGACAAAATAAACTTTGTCCAGTCAACAAATTGATTTTCTCCTTGGCCTTGCATTTTACCTGTGACAACTGAAGGATTTTACACACAGGGAAACGTTTGGAAACATGCGGTGAAACTTCAGGTGTAGTTCCCGACACTGGACTCACCGACCGACTGTGATCAAACCCGGAGTCGCTCACAAATGACACCGGAGGATGAAGAACTGAATGGATTTAGTGATTTGGAGTGAGATGGAGAGTTTGTTAAACTTGTTCTGTTGTTTATGTTACAGTTTATCTGAAGAACTGTGAAATATGTGACGTTAACAGTCTGTTGTTCTCTCTTGTTGTTTTTACTTATTGTTAATATTACCTTTTTTAATTTTAATTTAATTTTATTTATTAATTCATGTATTCATTTTATTTTTACTTATTTTTTATTTTTGTTTTTGTTATTGCTTATTGTTATTACTTATTTTTTATATTTATTTTATTAAATGTATTATTTATTTATTTATTTAATTTTTACATATTTAATTTTTAGAATTTTTTATTTTTTTGTTATTATATTGTTATTACTTATTTAATTTTATTTTATTTTATTTATTATTTAATTAATTTATTTTATTTTTACATATTTCATTTTTTTATTTTTTATTTTTGTTATTACTTATTGTTATTACTCATTTTATTTTATTTATTATTTAATTTATTATTTATTTATTTTTACTTATTTTATTATTATTATATTATTTATTATTATTATTACTTATTGTCATTACTTACTATTATTATTACTGTTATTACTTATTAACTTGACTTTCAAACAGGAAATTCTGCTCCAGCTCTGATTTTATAAAATTAATTTCCCCCAGAAAGACCGACTTGTGTTTTTTTCGTCTTCATTACGCATTTTTTGGCTGGTGTGACTTGAGTTGTCAAATATTAGGAGCCCAACTATTCTACTTTTGTCTGGACAAAACAGAAACTCTGAAGCCGTTTTCCTCTTTTGTCTTTGTTGTTCAGTGCAGCTCCGGGGTTTAAATTCCACGTGATCTGAGGAAACGGAGCAGATTAGAGCCAGAACTGAAGCCTGCGCGTTTCTCTGCGTGTGTGGGACGTCGTCGATGGTGCGAGCCTTCGGTCCACTTGTTTACACAGTCTCCGGGGGTCGACACACACTCGCGCACACACACACACGACGCCGAGGAGCCGTGTGCGCGCCGCTGCTTTCACTTACCCTTCACTGCACAATGCACTTTTTAAGCTTGACACAGCGCGGCGTCTTTTCCTCTTTGCTGAGCCTATTGAGCCGGTACTGCCTGATCTCCCGCACCAAAGTGTAAAAGGCATCCTCCACTCTCTGCACGAAACACAGCTGCTCAGAGGGAACCGGTCAACACAAGAGACTCACCGCGGGCCGCACACCAGAGCACGGACAGTCTCGCATCAGCCTCAAAAGTGCAGCGTCCGACTTTTGTTTACGGGCGGAGGCTCCGTCAGATGCTCGTTACTGATCCGGCTGCTTTGTCTGGAATGTTTCACAGTTTTATCTTCATGGAAACCAAAACAAGTCACGGGCACAACGTCTGTTTTTATCTGTATTTTTGAGCTGTAAAACCTCTAGGGATGCAACGATATGGTTTTCCCACGATTTCGAAACACGGGTCACGATATCGATCCGACTTTGACACGTTTTAACCCTTAAATTGTGTTTGTGAAAAAAATTGACCCATTTTCAAGTTCAGGTTTGTAAAAAAAAGTACCATTTGCTTTTTTGTACTGGGACGAGGCTTCATCTAATCCTCAGACACAACTGTTTTAATGCAACAAAAAAATATATTATAAATAATAATAAATGAATAAATAAATAAATTATAACTGAAAATATAATTACTCAGTTTATCACTATAGTTAATATAATTATTGAATTTAAACAGTTTTTGTAATCGAAAACCTCCTGTAATCTCCTATATTGTAAGAAAAGTCTGTGGAGCCAAAAATAAATAAATTAATTAAAAAACAGTGTTTCCATGGAAATCATTAGATACCAAGTTATTTATGAGGGGGAAACAATACTGGATGAAAACTCGTGTTTTTAAGTCTTTTCAGGCAGAGTTAAATCATGGGTCAAATTTGACGCCAACGCTAAAGATGTGAGCAGCTTTCTAACACAACACAAGAGTTAACGTTATTTTGTTCTGCTAATAAGTAAAATATAATAACACTGATATAATAAAACGCCTGGGCGTCTCCCTCAGGAGGTGTTCCGGGCACTTCCCACCAGGAGGAGGCCCCGGGGAAGACCCAGGACACGCTGGAGGGACTATGTCTCTGGACTGGCCTGGGAACACCTCTGTTCCCCCTGGAGGAGCTGGAGGAAGTGTCTCGGGTGGAGGAAGTCTGGGAGTCCCTGCTTAGGCTGCTGCTCCCGAGACCCGACCCCGGATAAGCCGACGAAAATGGATGGATGGATATAATAAAACATACAACTCACTACAGTAGAACTCGTGTACATCTGGAGTTTATATGTGAAGTGTTTTAGTTCATTTGGTTCAATGATTCACAGCTCAGAGTTTTTATTTAGTGAAAATCAGAACAGAGTTTCTCAGGATATTTTATATTTTAGAATAAACCAGTCGACTCTTAATAGAGACTGTAGGGGACTTTTACTTTTCTGATGATGATTTGATTTGTTTTCCTCCTGAGGCTCTGTCCACACGACAACGATTTTGGTCGAAACTGAAGTTTTTATTCGTTTTGGTCTTTCGCCCACACAGAGACGACGTTTCATGTGGGCTAAAACTGTGTTTTTTGAGAACGAGTTCCAGAGTGGAGAAATCTAAGAAAGCCGACGTTGCGTTTTCGTGTGGATGAGCAGCTTTAAGAAAATGATGACGTCACGATGCCGCTGCTCGAACTCGCCTATTCCACAGAAATGTCTCACACACGTTTTCTGACTCAAACTTGTGAGACAGAGTGAGAAAAAGATCGAGTTTATCACGAGCGGCGTCGCGGCGGCGAATACGAGCGCGTTTGATTAAAGTCGATGTGAAGCCAAAAGTGATTCTAAAGTGTTTAAAAGTGAATTTCTTTGTCATTTCTGCGTCTATGAACGTCAAATAAAAAGTGAGTGAAACATCAAACCCTCGTCTTTTAGAATATTTCAGCTCTATTTTCTGCTGCGTTTGAGAAGGACACAGAGAGAACTGAAGAACCTTTGGACCAAAATAAAGGCCTGAACGAACACGAGTATCGAATCGTGAGACCAGTATCGAACGATTCATACTAAATCGAATATTGTTGCATCCCTAAAAACCTGCAGTTGAATAAACGTAAAGTAGAGTCGTTTAAAGTCACACTGTGGAACATTCCAGACACACAAACCAATGACGTCTCCATAGAAACAGGCAGGTGACGGACCCCCAACCGAAAAGAAAAGTTACACAGTGCATCTTTAAGCCAAACTGTGATGAAAATGTGTGAGAAATGTGTGATTGTGGCCAACAGTAGTGACCCGTGTGACTCCACAATATGTGTTAATGACGAGCTGTTCTGCCAAAAGGAAAAATAAACTGATAAAAAAAATTAAAACTTTTGCTGAAAATTGTCCAAGACTCAAATAAAAATCCAAATCGGAGCGAGCGAGCGGCCATCTGTGGAGACTGAACGTGTCTGCCACTGCCAACTGCCAACTGCTCTAATTAATAGTAAGAAATGGATTTATTAATTAAAATAGTCTGGACTGTTTTGATATTTGCAGTGGCATCGCGCTGGGGGAGGTGTACATGTTTGTGTACGGTGGAATGTTCAGTCACAGAAACACGATGCGCACGCGGCCAAAAAAGTTTTAAGATGGTCTGAAAATGAAAATGTGCTCTTAAAATCATTAGTTTTTATGATCATCTTGAGACTTTTTTTGTCCGTGTTTGCGTCACCGTGGTAACTACTGCACATTCCGCCGGTGAACACACATGTAGATCGCCCCCAGCGTGATGTCGCTCAGCAGTGAAAGTGCGGTGGGCAGTTTCACGTGTGATAATGGACTGTGTGTGTGTGTGTGTGTGTGTGTGTGTGTGTGAAATGTGATTGAAATGAGCAGAGCTGTGAGAATCAGAGCAGCGTGACGTCCCTCTGCGCTCACAACCAACCACAAGCACGATTTACACCATCACTGTCCACATGCACGCTCCTCTGACACACACACACACACACTCCTGACACACACACACACACACACACAGACACACAGACACACAGACACACACACACACACACACACCTCTGGGGCCCCGGCTCATTCGGTGCACTGCTGTTTCTGTGATTAAGCCACTGAACATGCACTGATTAGATAATCACCCATAAAATAAAAAAGAATTATTAACCAGTCAAACAACCCGAAACACGTCCAGAGAGTTCTGATTTGAACAGAAAATCCACCAAATTTGACATGAAAAAAAGAAACACCGCATCATTTCAGATCCTGATTCTCTTCTGCCCCGTGATTGGCTCCTGCTGAAGCTGAAGGGAACAGAGCGCGCTCACATGCTCCACATACCAGCGCAGGATTACAGCCATAATCTGCAGTGAACAGTGGAGGGCGCGGCCCTCTGGACTCTCACCTGTCTGGTTTTGGCCGAGGTCTCGATAAAGGGAATGCCGTAGCTGCGCGCTAAGTCCTGAGCCTGCTTCGTGTCCACTGTCCGGGACGGGAGGTCACACTTGTTTCCTACCAACACCATGGGCACGTCCTCAGAGTCCTTCACCCGCTTAATCTGTTCTCTGGAGACATTCAAACATAAACACAAGAGAAAAAAAAAAAGAGTCATGAACTGGTTGGACAGGTTCACACAGTTAAGACCTGCAACTTTAAACACCTGCAAACACAAAGTGATCTGACACAAACACAACACACAACACAAAACTCTGCTCTGTCATTATTGTGTAACATACACCTGTCATACACCTGTCATACACCTGTCATACACCTGTCATACACCTGTCATACACCTGTCATACACCTGTCATACACCTGTCATACACCTGTGGCAGGGACAGGACACAAGAGCCAATCAGCACCGGGACTCACCTGTACGCACCTGCACGGACAGGGCCTCACCTGCACGGACAGGGCCTCACCTGCACGGACAGGGCCTCACCTGCACGGACAGGGCCTCACCTGCACGGACAGGGCCTCACCTGTAGTGGTGGATGTCCTCGAAGGACTTGATGTTGTTGATGGCAAAGACACATAAGAAGCCTTCTCCTGTCCTCATGTACTGGTCTCTCATGGCGCTGTACTCCTCCTGACCTGCAGTGTCCAGGATGTCCAGGAGACACGTCTCCCCGTCGATCACCACCTGTTTTCTGTACGAGTCCTGACGTCAGAACAAGAGGAATCGTGAGCACAGATCCGTAAAAACCCCTGCACACTTCACAGTTCACACTCGTGTGTCGGGGTCTGTACCTCGATGGTCGGGTCGTATTCATCCACAAAGTGATTCTGGATGAGCTGAATCGTGAGCGCGCTCTTCCCCACGCCACCAGCTCCCACCACCACCAGCTTATACTCTGTCATGATTCACCTGGAAACACAGAGCACAGGAGGGGGAGCTGTTCAGGCACAAGAGCAGGAGCAGGGCAGACAGACAGAGACACACAGACACAGACAGACACAGACAGACACAGACTGACACAGACTGACACAGACTGACACAGACTGACACAGACAGACACAGACTGACACAGACTGACACAGACTGACACAGATTGACACAGATTCGTCTGCACGGTCGATGGCTGCAGAGTGAAAACACAAACCCGCCTCAGGCACAAATCCATACTTTCAGATGAAGGCGACGCATCGACCAGAGACCAGAGGGGTTTTGCACAGTCTGCTGCTTTCACACCAGCAGCAGCAGCAGCATCAACATCAATAACAGCGCTGGCCTGTCTCTTCTGACGGTTCTGCTCAGCTCGGTCACAGCCTGGAGCCTGGAGCCTGGGAGGAGCTCTGCGGGTTTCATCTACTCACAAACTAGTTTAACAAAGTGACAGGCTCTTACTTTGAGTTATTAGGAGCAAATCAACCTGTCGCCTGTTGTTTGTCGTTTGTCGTCTGTCTCTTGTTTGAGAGCCGGAGACGTATCAATAAGTTCACAAACGATCACATGACCTACAATCTGTGAATGTGTAAATGACGTTGAGCTTCTCCGTCCTGAGTCCAGCCCAGAGCTCAGGCTTCGTACATTTTACCAAATCAATATTGTAACCTGCACCAAGAACAAACTCAGGAGATAAAGAATATTATGTTTTATTATGATCGGCTCTGGCCCAATGTGACCTTCAACCTGAAACGTCGACTCTACTTCGACTCCTACTTCGACTCCTACTTCGACTCCTACTTCGACTCCTACTTCGACTTCGACTCCTACTTCGACTCCTACTTCGACTCCTACTTCGACTCCTACTTCGACTCCTACTTCGACTCCTACTTCGACTCCTACTTCGACTCCACTTCGACTCCACTTCGACTCGACTCCACTTCGACTCCACTTCGACTACTTCGACTCCACTTCACTTCGACTTCGACTCCACTTCGACTCTGCACTTCGACTCCACTTCGACTCCACTTCGACTTCGACTCCACTTCGACTCCACTTCGACTCCACTTCGACTCCACTTCGACTCCTACTTCGACTCCACTTCGACGACTTCGACTCACTTCGACTCCTACTTCGACTGCACTCGACTGCACTTCGACTGCACTTCGACTGCACTTCGACTGCACTTCGACTCCTACTTCGACTCCTACTTCGACTCCTACTTCGACTCCTACTTCGACTCCTACTTCGACTCCTACTTCGACTCCTACTTCGACTCCACTAAACTAGTGAAGTAACTAAAAACGATAAATGAACATCTCTAATAACAGCTGAGGAGGATTTTATGAAGTTTTGGCTCAGACTAAAAGGACTGAGAATGGATTTTCCCCTAAAAAACTGTTAATTTATTACAAATTTGATCAAACTGTGGATTTATCTTGAACAGCTTTGTATAAATTAAAGTAAGTCTGTGCAATTAATCAAATTTTCTCACACTCGAGTTGAAAAGATAAAGGTTAACAAAGTTTATTTGGTGATATTTTTATATAAATAAGTGTATTTATTTCATTTTTTAAATATAGAGATTGTAGAAGAACTGGATATAGTTTATTTTGGACACGTTTATGTTTTTCTGCCTGATTTCAACTTATTTCAAAGTTTATTTTATTCATTTTATGTTTTATACATCACAAAACTGCTCCGAGGTTCAGATTTTTAGCCGATATTTATTTTAAATTTGGAAGTTTTGCGTAAATTAACAACAACAAAGTGTTTTTGGATTTAAATTTTTTGAAGAGAAAGAGAAATGCTGAATAAATGCATCATGTAACTCAAAAAATAATCGTTTAATTAATTTATTTCAGTATTAACCAAAATATTCTTCGTGATCTTTTTTTTATTTTTTTTTATTAAATCAAGCAGCTCTAAATAAAAGCATCTCATAAAACCATGCTGAGTTGTCCTGGACGTGCAGCTGTTTGTAAAGAATCTCACCACATCAGATTAACGCCCAAACAGGAAATCAGACGAACTAATATCACGGAACAGAAACGCGATCCAGGAAATTCCAGTATCCACGACACCAGGTCTGGCACAAAACCTCGAACCCAAGTTATTTAGGCTGGACGCGCCAGATCATAGAGCCGATGTGTAACATTCCAAACCTCCCTGTGAAATGCCTCCTCTGACCCTGAGCCGAGGCGTCCAAACTTTCCTCATCAAGGGCCACGAATCTGAACACGGACGAAGCGGAAAAGCAGAGGGACGATTAAAGGTGGTATGGAGGATTTATTTTTTTTTTTTTTAAGTTTCAAATTGTCAGTGAAAGTTTAAAATACCATTACAGAGACGCAGCAGCTTTCAAATTATGATGACTAAAAAAAAAAAAAAAAAGAAAATCTATCAACTGAGGCCAGATAAACATCAGCCAATAGAAAACAAGGCTCCCTCATTTTGTATTGGCCGTTAGGTTGTCAATCAAACTCTCTACGTTTCTAGTGTAACTGACTCGTCGGCGCTCGGGGATTACGTCGTTTATGCAGCGGTTCTTAGAGGCTTTTTTTCAAACTGTCGCTTCCTCGCAGTTTGCACGAGAGACGGGCATTCGATTAAATTTTCTTAATCGATCGTCGAAAGAATTAACGATCGATTATCAATTAATCATTAAGGTTTTTATATTAAAATTATCATCATTATTATTACTATCTGCACTAACCTGCATAAATAAATTCAACTTTACGACATAAACATAACGACTCTAGATCCACATCAGCTGTTTGACATTATAATGTGTTTAATTCAGTTTTGTTCAAATCTCACAGAAACAAAACTTAAAACCACATCACTAATTTACATAAACTAAGTGAAGATAAAACTCCAGCTCTTGTGTCGCTGATGTGGTTCAACTTGTGTTGGATTAAAAGACATGACTCAGGTGAATACAGGTCAGTGTGACCAGATTTGTGTTTGTCAAAACCAGGACAGCGTACGGGGGGAGGGGGGCGGGGCCTCGTCATCCACATTGAGCGACTCTCACCTGGAAAAACTTTTTCCCACTGGACACAGAAACATATGTGCTGCTTTATCCACTGTGCACATGGACTCACACTTGTCCCAACGCAACGGAAAGTGTGGAATTTCTTCTACAAATCCTGGTTAAATCCACATTTGTGCTTCGGTTCGTTACAGACTGACCCACTGTTTGTGTCTCGCTCCTTCTGATGCAGAGACACATGTACACACCTGTTTTGGTCACGACACACAAACACACATTCGGTTTGTCGATTAAAATGAACGTAATCAATGAAATTCTTAATGATCAATTATCGATTAATCAACTAATCATGCCCATCCCTAGTAACTGACTCGTCGGTGTGCGAGGATCACGTGGTTTTTGCAGTGGCTCTCAGAGGCTTCTTCAAAGTGTAGCTTCCTCGCAGTTCGCACAAAGTTTGTCGCGATGGCGGACGAGAATCCACGACCAGTTCGCCGCAAAAGAAAGTCGGTTTTTTAGGTCGCTGAAAGACAAAGAGGAGGAGAAAAGGAGCGAAGACAAACTGAGGTGATTCTTGGATTCTCTTCCAGCGATTGCGTGAACGAAGCAGACGAAGGGTCTAAAAACTGACGCGTCGGTCGATAAATTATTTCTAGACAGGAAACTTCAACAGTAATTCTGAACACGCACTAGATGTTTTCTATTTCTTTTCCCTTAAAAAATCCTCCATACAACCTTTAAGAGACACAGACTGACTGATAAAACTGTAAATAATTAGAATATTTGCATTTATAAACCTGTTAGAATGAGACGCCAGAATATTATCCAAGTTCAGATCTTCAAAAAGACACGCTAAAGATTCAATGTTTAAAAACTTTCACTCAAAATTATTATTTACTGGAGGAAATATGAGGTCCGAGGGCCGAGAAAAACTGGTGTGAGGGCCGCGTTCGGCTCCTGGGCCATAATTTGGACATGCCTGTTCTGTTTCTATATCATAAAAATTAAAATGTGAACGTACCAGACCAAATATTGGGCCTCGTTTATTTCGTTTTAAAGATTTTCCCGAAGCGACACACATTTTTTCAGTTTGTAATATCAATATAATCCTCATTTTCTCGCAGAACTTTACTATGAAATTATATTTTAAATCATTTTTGAAGCAGGAGTGTCCAAACTTTTTTCATCAAGGGCCACATTTCTAAACACAGATGAAGCAGAGGGTCGATCAAGGGCCGTAAACTGGAGCTCAGTACAGTGAATTATTAAAATATGTGCAGGTTTAACGCATTAGAATGACTTTTATTCACGCCAAGATGCTTAAAACCACAAACTAAATATTCAACATGAGCTTTATCAAGGTAGATTTTCAAAAAACTTGAAGTACAAAGTTGATTTTTAATTGATACAAGGTCATTTGGTAGTCTGATTCATGAGCTGGTTTCACTTGGTGTAAACCGTGTGACCTGCAGCATGAGGATTCGTTCACTCGACAGGAGACGGGGACTTTTTTTGTTGAACCAATCGCTGCTGTTTGGTCGTGACGTTTGTAAAGCTCCAAATCCTGTAGGAAGAAGAACAATAACGTCTTTCCCCGAGATCAAATTCACCAAATATTCTCTTAGTTTAAGCTTTAAATCCTCGATCTTGGGAATTGTTGCCAACACAGAATTTCTGTCTCTTCCCCAGAAGTGTGAGTTCGGGCAAATCAGAGTTTTTGTAAATCGTCAGTGTTTTCTGATTCCTGACACAGTCGCTGGAGAGAAATTAAATTGAGTGGAGGCACTAGGCGGCGCCGGCCAAGAAATTCCACACTTTCCGTTGCGTTGGGACAAGTGTGAGTCCATGTGCACAGTGGATAAAGCAGCACATATGTTTCTGTGTCCAGTGGGAAAAAGTTTTTCCAGGTGAGAGTCGCTCAATGTGGATGACGAGGCCCCGCCCCCCTCCCCCCGTACGCTGTCCTGGTTTTGACAAACACAAATCTGGTCACACTGACCTGTATTCACCTGAGTCATGTCTTTTAATCCAACACAAGTTGAACCACATCAGCGACACAAGAGCTGGAGTTTTATCTTCACTTAGTTTATGTAAATTAGTGATGTGGTTTTAAGTTTTGTTTCTGTGAGATTTGAACAAAACTGAATTAAACACATTATAATGTCAAACAGCTGATGTGGATCTAGAGTCGTTATGTTTATATGTCGTAAAGTTGAATTTATTTATGCAGGTTAGTGCAGATAGTAATAATAATGATGATCATTTTAATATAAAAACATTAATGATTAATCTGATAATCGATCGTTAATTCTTCCGACGATCGATTAAGAAAATTTAATCGAATGCCCGTCCCTAGTGAGGAGGATTGTGTGACGTTAGTGGTGATTTTGGCGACTTTTGGCATTTTTTTTGTTTTCAATGGCGTCTACAAGTGGAAAAAAAATCGATCCATGGTTTGGAATCACTTTGATCTAATTCCACCTCACAAGGTCAACTCCTTTCTTATTTACAACATGTTATTTATGTTGCTCTTTACATATTTTAAATATTCATTATTATTATTGTTGTTGTTGTTGGTACGGCGTCGCCCTTCACACGAGTATTGTCTTATTGTTAAATTTGTCCACTTTTCCAGGTCAGCGTTTCTCCGAGGCCTCAGACACATCGAACCGTTTGAGACGATATTGCGACTGAGGTGTCGACGCTTCACGAGGCTCCGTTCGCCAGTCACTAGTTTAACTCTTTCCCCCCTGGACGCCTACTAGGAACAACCCATACATATGTTACTAGGACTACCCATAGAGCATAATTGCATAAAAGAAAACAGACTTCCACGAGTGATTTCAGGGCAATTTTGGTTCATAATCAAGTATAAAGCCCGGATAGTTTGTTCGGATATTGCAGGACTCCATACAGACGCATCAGCTGTATTCTCATCTTCTTAAGTTTCACTCTCTGTAAGTCCGTCGCTGTCGCTGTTTTCCACTTTATAATCACCCTCATCATCACTTTGAAATCTATAAAAGTCACTTTCTCTAAACTTATCCATAAAATACGTCCGCTCCTCATTATTTCTAAGACTGTGCGCCGCAGCGCCGCGATCTTTCCATTACACGTGTTTCGTGTTGTGTTTTTTCCGGAAGCTACCATCGTCACTATTTCGATTAACTTCGGAAAAAATTGGCGAAACCATATCCTTGAATCCTAATGGTCAGTCTAGTGTGGGTTGTAGTGGCCCCGACCGATCACAGTCTCTGTTTAAATGTGAAAAACCGAGCCGTTTCTAAAGGTCGTCAAATCACGACTTTAGTGATACGGCGGAGGAGTCAGAAGTCGTCATCAAGGGTTCAGGGGGGTCGTCAAATGTCGTCTTCATGGGGGAAAGAGTTAACATAATTCGTAAACAGTGCAACACAAGAAACTTAGAAAACTACAGAATTTGCTCAAAAAATGCTTCAGAATCACTTTTAAGGAAGCTCTGAACTCTGTGTTTCTTTGGAATATGTCACATAAAAATCCTGAAATAGGTGTGGTACATTTATCGAGAACACGGGAGTTTCTGAGGCACTTTTCCAAGGAAGAATTTGACAAACTATATTTACTCTTTGCGTTTGAGACCTCGTCATTTTTGCATCTTTTGTTCGTCTGTTTGAACAAATGTGTCGAGATATTTTGGACCTTGCAAGTTCCAGTTTAATACAATATATATAAGATTTATTTAAGTATTTATTTATATTTATATAGATTATCCAACTTTCAGAAAGGCGACAAATCAGTTAGAATTTCCAGTCGATTTCTGCTCAAAAACTTCACTAAATAAATGAAACTTTTTAACAACAGCAGCAGCTTTTTTCTTTTTTCTCTTACAGGTGCAGTTCTCCTCATGACCAAATGTGTCGCTGTTTACAAATCGAAAAAAAGAGTCCAGTTTTGATTTAATAAACTGTATAAAATAAATCTGTATTATTTCATTTTTAAAAAGGAACATGCAGATTTTATAGATCCAAGCCGATAATAATCACTGTGCATGTTTAAATGTGACCACACTGAATATTTTTACATTTAAACTTATAAATTGTGCATTTTTTTTCCCCATATATTTTGCATTTTCACTATAAAAAAAAATACAAAAATATAATAACTTTACAATTACTTTAAATGTCAGACAGAAAGAACTTACTTGAACTTTTCCCTGAACATTCGCCCTAAAGTGACGCTGACGGGATTTTCAGAATTTTAAACTGTGACACACTCAGGTTCTGATGTTTGGTGTAAATAAAAGAGTAAAAGAGCGAGTAAGATTATGCATTCTCCTGATTTCTTAGTCCTGGTTTAGTCCTGGTTTAGTCCTGGTTTAGTCCTGGTTTAGTCCTGGTTTAGTCCTGGTTTAGTCCAGATTAGACCTGGTTGAGTCCCAGTTGAGTCCCGGTTTAGACCCGGTTTAGTCGTGATGTAGTCCTGGTTTAGACCTAATTTAGTCTTGGTTTAGACCTGGTTCAGTCCTGGTTTAGACCTGGTTCAGTCCTGGTTCAGTCCTGGTTCAGTCCTGGTTCAGTCCTGGTTCAGTCCTGGTTTAGACCTGGTTTAGACTCATTTTAGTCCTGATGTAGTCCTAGGTTACACCCAATTTAGACCTGGTTTAGTCCTGGTTCAGATCTGGTTCAGTCCAGTCCTGGTTTTAGTCCTGGACCTGGTTTAGTCCTAGGTTTAGACCCTGGTTTAGTTTAGTCCTGGTTTTAGTCCTGGGTTTTAGTCCTGGTTTAGACCTGGTTTAGCCCTGGTTTATTTAGCCCTGGGTTTAGTCCTGGTTTAGTCCTGGTTTAGTCCTGGTTTTAGTAGACCTGGTTTAGACCTGGTTTAGACCTGGTTTAGACCTGGTTTACCTGGTTTACCTGGTTTAGACCTGGTTTAGTTTAGTCCTGGTGGTTTACCTGGTTAGTCCTGGTTTAGTCCTGGTTTAGTCCTGGTTTAGACCTGGTTTAGACCTGGTTTTAGACCTGGTTTACTCCGGGTCCATGTTGTTGCGCTTGCGGCTAACTTAGCTTAGCACGTAGCACACGGAAGCTTCCAGAGCTAAAACCCCCGAATCTCACACACGTCCTCCGCACTTCACGCGACACACACACGCGACACAACACACACACGCGTTCAGAACTCAGAACCCGCAACATTTCATTCAAAATCCGGGTCGGGACCGGGTTCGGAGCCGCGGAAACGTCGAGGCTGGAGCGCAGCGCAGGGCCGGAGACGCGCCGCTCCGACCAGGGCGTAGCTTCAAATAACAACACAAACTACCATTTCCACGCGTGTTTTTCGGCTCACGTACAATCACGATCCCACCGCGCACTCAAACATCACGCGTGGGTTTGCAAAAAAACAAAAAACAAACTAAAAAACTAAAAAAAAAACCCGCCGTTGTCATGCGTTTTTACCTTTTAGCGAGTGGAGTTCCGCGTCCGAAAGTAGCGACCGAAAAAGTCAAAGCCCCAAAGCTGCTCGAGTTTCACACGATCTCCGCATGTCCCGGGTCCGAGCCAGAGCCCAGCATCTACAGCAGCTCCACCGCGGTCCAGAAGCGACGGGAACATGCACCGAGCCGGGACTTTTAATCGATAGAACTTTCCATTTGGCGCTGCGCTCGGGGGGCCTCGGTCGGTCGGTCGGTGCTGTCGCTGCCGTTGCGCCTCTACGCGGACATGGGCGTGAACCGGGGCCCGCACTTTACCCACAAAGCAACGCAGGGGGATTTCGACCGGTTTCTGCTCTCGGGGGCATGTCGCAATGAGCCCTCCTCGCGTTTTTTTTTTTTTTTTTTTTTTAATTGTCTTTTGTTGGTGTGATTTTGTGGTGGTTGAAACAAATAAAACGTTTCATTTTTGACAAAAAAAAAAAAAAAAAAAAAAAAAAAAAGAGGAAGAGAAGAGGAGAGGAGCTGCGTTTGTGTGTTTCTGATTATTTACGTGTGGAGTGTTGGTGATTGCACTGGTTTAGTCCTGGTTTAGTCCTGGTTTAGTCCTGGTTTAGACCTGGTTTAGACCTGGTTTAGTCCTGGTTTAGCCCTGGTTTAGTCCTGATGTAGTCCTGGTTTAGACCTGATTCAGACCTGGTTTAGACCTGATGTAGTCCTGGTTTAGACCTGGTTTAGTCCTGGTTTAGTCCTGGTTTAGACCTGGTTTAGTCCTGGTTTAGACCTGGTTTAGTCCTGATGTAGTCCTGGTTTAGACCTGATTCAGACCTGGTTTAGTCCTGGTTTAGCCCTGGTTTAGTCCTGGTTTAGACCTGGTTTAGTCCTGGTTTAGTCCTGGTTTAGCCCTGGTTTAGTCCTGGTTTAGCCCTGGTTTAGTCCTGGTTTAGTCCTGGTTTAGCCCTGGTTTAGTCCTGGTTTAGACCTGGTTTAGTCCTGATGTAGTCCTGGTGTAGACCTGATTCAGACCTGGTTTAGACCTGGTGTAGACCTGGTTTAGTCCAGGTTTAGTCCTGGTTTACACCTGGTTCAGACCTGGTTTAGACCTGGTGTAGACCTGATGTAGAACTGGTTTAGTCTTGGTTTAGTCTTGGTTTAGTTCTGGTTTACACCTGGTTCAGAAGTGGTTTAGTCGTGGCTTAGACCTGGTTTAGACCTGGTTTAGACCTGGTTTCTCTCATGTCGCAATGAACCCTCGCTTTTTTTTTTTTTTTTTTTTTTGGAATCGTCCAAAAAACAGCTCCAAAGAGGAAGAGGAGAGCGCTGCGTTTGCGTGTTTTCTGTGTGTTTTCTTCGTGTTTCTTCGTGTTTTCTTCGTGTTTCTTCGTGTTTCTGCGTGTTTACGTCTCGTGTGTTGTTTACTCGCGGTGGAGCGGCTGTGGGTGACTCGGTGCCGGTGTCGGGTCGCGCCGCTCGCTCCCGGCTCCGCTCACGCTGCTGTTCCGCGCTGCACAGTCAACAAAACCTAGGGGGCGACTCGTCTTTATAAAGGCTCTAAATATAAACCGGAATGTGCCGCGGAGACGTCATCCCAGGCAAGGAATTCATTTGGCGAACCGCGTCACGGCGCCTCCCTTTTCCTCCGCCGCTCCTCCCGCGCGCAGCAGCGTTCAGGAAAAGTCTGGTTTTAAAAAATCACAAACCTTATACCAATCCAACAATAGACATTATTATTATTATTCATAAATCACAAAATAAATGTGAGTATTATTGAACATAACTTTAACATACGGACGATCATTTGTTTCATTGCGTTTTGGGATTTTAAATACTCCTAAATTTCTCACTTTGAATTTTTAAACTCTGAATAAAATATGTTTTTAGTTGTCGCCTTTTAAATATTCAGCTCAAATTCAACACTTCAAAATTCAGAGTGAAAAATTTGCAGTGAAAAAAACGATTCATAAATAAAGTTTGATTTGATTTGACAAGTTAAATAAGTGTTGAATTCACAAATCTGCACTAAATTGGCTCTTAGTGTGAATTTTTTAAATAATTTCTGTCTTTGGTTTAGACCTGGTTTAGTCCTGGTTTAGTCCTGGTTTAGTCCTGGTTTAGATCTGGTTTAGTCCTGGTTTAGACCTGGTTTAGTCCTGGTTTAGACCTGGTTTAGTCCTGGTTTAGTCCTTGTTTTAGTCCTGGTTTAGTCCTGGTTTAGACTTGGTTTAGTCCTGGTTTAGACCTGGTTTAGTCCTGGTTTAGACCTGGTTCAGACCTGGTTTAGTCCTGGTTCAGACCTGGTTTAGTCCTGGTTTAGACCTGGTTCAGACCTGGTTTAGTCCTGGTTTAGACCTGGTTCAGACCTGGTTTAGTCCTGGTTTTGACCTGGTTTAGTCCTGGTTTAGACCTGGTTCAGACCTGGTTTAGTCCTGGTTTTGACCTGGTTTAGTCCTGGTTTAGACCTGATTCAAACGTGGCTCAGTCCTGCACTAAATCAGTGTGATTTTTTAAAATCATTTCTGTCTCGTGAGTCCTATTCCTGCGCTCCTTTAAACCAGCGTTTACTAAAGTTTTTGTTTTTTTCTGGAGACCCATATTTTAAAAATCACAAACCTTCGCGATCCAAGTCAATAAACATTATTCATAAATCACAAAATAAATATGAGCATTATTGAAGATTACGTTAAAATATGGACGATAATTTGTTCCATTGCGTTTTTGAATTTTAAATACTCCTGAAACTCTCACTTTGAATTTGAAGAGATGTTTTTAGTTGCTAAAATTTTGCATATACTTTTTCAGTTTGTATAAAAATGTCACCAGAAATATTTTCAAATCCTCAAATTCAACACTTCAAAATTCAGAGTGAAAAATTTGCAGTGAAAAAAAGCACTTCATAAATAAAGTTTGATTTGATTTGACAAGTTAAATAAGTGTTGAATTCACAAATCTGCACTAAATCAGCTCTTAGTGTGATTTTTTAAATAATTTTTGTCTCGTGAGTCCTGCTCCTGCTCCTGTGCTCCTTTAAAACAGCGTTTATGAAAGTTTTTTGTTTTTTTTCTGGGGATTCATATTTTAAAAATCACAAATGTTGTCCTGGTTTAGTCTTGGTTTAGTCCTGGTTTAGATCTGGTTTAGTCCTGGTTTAGTCCTGGTTTAGTCCTGGTTTAGTCCTGGTTTAGATCTGGTTTAGTCCTGGTTTAAACCTGATGTAGTCCTGGTTTAGTCCTGGTTTAGACCTGGTTTAGTCCTGGTTTAGATCTGGTTTAGTCCTGGTTTAGTCCTGGTTTAGATCTGGTTTATCCTGTTTAGTTTAGTCCTGGTTTAGTCTGGTTTAGTCCTGTTTAGTCCTGGTTTTCTGGTTTAGTCCTCTTTAGTCCTGGTTTAGTCTGGTTTAGTCTGGTTTACCTTTAGATCTGTTTAGTCCTGGTTTAGTCCTGGTTTAGATCTGGTTTAGTCCTGGTTTAGTCCTGTTTAGTCCTGGTTTAGTCCTGGTTTAGTCCTGGTTTAGTCCTGGTTTAGATTTAGTCCTGGTTAAACCTGATTAGTCCTGGTTTAGTCCTGGTTTAGACCTGGTTTAGTCCTGGTTTAGATCTGGTTTAGTCCTGGTTTTAGTCCTGGTTTAGACCTGGTTTAGTCCTGGTTTAGATCTGGTTTAGTCCTGGTTTTCCTGGTTTAGTCCTGGTTTAGTCCTGGTTTAGTCCTGGTTTAGATCTGGTTTAGTCCTGGTTTAGTCCTGGTTTAGACCTGGTTTAGTCCTGGTTTAGATCTGGTTTAGTCCTGGTTTAGTCCTGGTTCAGATCTGGTTTAGTCCTGGTTTAAACCTGATGTAGTCCTGGTTTAGATCTGGTTTAGTCCTGGTTTAGATCTGGTTTAGTCCTGGTTTAGATCTGGTTTAGTCCTGGTTTAAACCTTATGTAGTCCTGGTTTAGTCCTGGTTTAGTCCTGTTTAGTTTAGATCTGGTTTAGTCCTGGTTTAGTCTGGTTTAGATCTGGTTTAGTCCTGGTTTATCTGGTTTAGTCCTGGTTTAGATCTGGTTTAGTCCTGGTTTAGATCTGGTTTAGTCCTGGTTTACCTGTTTAGTCCTGGTTTAGATCCTGTTTAGTCCTGTTTAGATCTGGTTTAGTCCTGGTTTAGATCTGGTTTAGTCCTGGTTTAGACCTGGTTTTAGTTTTAGATCTGGTTTAGTCCTGGTTTAGTCCTTTAGTCTGGTTTAGATCTGGTTTAGTCCTGGTTTAGATCTGGTTTCTGGTTTAGATCTGGTTTAGTCCTGGTTTAGTCCTGAGTCCTGCTCCTGTGCTCCTTTAAACCAGCATTTACTAAAGTTTTTTTTTTTTTTTTTTTTTTTTTTTTTGGAGACTCTTATTTTAAAAATCACAAACCTTCAAGACCCAAGTCAATAAACATTATTCATAAATCACAAAATAAAATTGGATTTTTTCATGATTGAACATTAATGAGGATATTTTAGTGATCGTGTTTCTGAACAGTTAAACTGCCACAGAATTGTTTTTTTTTTTTATTGGATATTGGACATTTGACACATTCAAAGACGTTTAACTTTAATACATGTCTTTTTTTTTTAAACAACTTGTGACGTCTAAACATCACAAGACAGTAAATATATATTAAAAAAACACTGACCACTTTTACTTTGTGGCTTTTAACATGACGTGAGTCGTGTGTTCCTCTGTGTCTTTTATTTATTTTGTATGTGTTGTTTTGTTGTTTGTATTTATTCTTTATGTATTTTATTGTCTTTATTTATTTATTGCTATTCTATGATTTTGCTCTTATTTTATTTGACTGGTTTTATTATTTTAAGACTATTAAATCTGAGCGTTTATTTGATCATTTTATTTTATTATTGTTGTTGTTGTTATGTGTGTTTGTGCAGCACTTTGGAAACTGTTTGTTTGTGAAATGTGCGACACAAATAAAGTGGATTAGTTTGGACCATTGTTGATTTTTCTTTCCTTGTCCCGGGGGAACCAACATTTTTGTCCACGTTTGTACATCACAAGTTAAATGAGTTGAGTGTTGAATTCAGAAATCTACACTAAATCAGCTCCTAGTGTGATTTTTTTTTAATAATTGAATTTACCCTGGATGATTCTGAAGACGTCACAAGTTGTTTGAAAAAAATCCGTGATATTTATTCAAGTTAAATGTCTTTGAATGTGTCGAATTTCCAGAATCAAACCAATTTAACCGCGGTAACATTTTGTTTTACTCAAGTTTTAAACAATGAAAAACAGTCACTGAAGCAGAAATAAAAGTCGAATATTTGGACGTTAAATGTAGAACTTTTTTTTTTCTTTTCAACATCCAATTGAA